AATTATAGAAATAATATATTATAAAGTAGAAGACAGTATATACAAATTGTGGTTTTGGCTTCCTGCCAAATAACGAAAATTTGATTTGGCGCTCGCTAGCATTGTATTCCTTTTTGGACCGAGATCCGAGCAATTAATATACAACTTAATGGCATAATTAGAAAGCCTCGAATGCTCGATTAATCAACTTTTTCTCTAAATTTTCTAAAGATAAATAAAATAATTCTTTGAATATGACTTGATTAAAAATTAAAAATTTTCAAAGATATCAAATTAAACAATCTTGATTATTTGAGATCTTTAAAAATTTCTATTAACTAATTTTTATTAATAAATTTATTATTATTAATAATAACTTCAACTTATTTAATAATTAAAATATATAAAATCTCTTGATAAAATCTCTTTTTAATGATATTTTTATTATTATGAATAATGATTATTAGGTATTAATAACAACAACAAATTAATAACTAATTTATGCATCGATTTTATTCTCGCAATGCATTCGAGGCAGTTTAAAAATAATAACGAATAATAGACATATGTTAATTATAACACAATAACACAAAATAATCTACAGATGAAATCATGCTTTACCGAGTATTGGAAAAAAAGAAAAAAAAATATACGTGCCGCGTTTCGAATATAGATTCAAGACATTTTACAGATTCTTCCCAATACGAATCATCTTGAAACGAACAATTTACATTTAAATACATTACTAATACTAACGATTACGAAGGACACATTTTAATATTTGAAGTTATGTTCCAATAAAAATGATTGTCGAGAGCACTTCAGTTGATCCATTTGTTAAGGTTTTCCGGGAACAAAAAGCAAATGCTTTCGTTTGTAGTATTCATTTTTCCTTTTATTTTTTTGCGATGACTGTAACAGAAAAATGGGGAAAAAAGCGTTACGAACTTATTATAAGAGAAAAATGAATTATACATAATATATTCGAAGTAACCAACGATGATGAAAGTTCGTTCAAGCAATCAACCTTCGTAATTCCCCAAGTGAAAGGGGGAACAAGCAATGATTAATCTGCAAGAAATTCCTGGAATAGATTTCAATGAACTTTTTCACTCGTTGAATATAATTTTCCTTAAAGAGTAGTAAAATTTTTTCTCGATATATAATGAATAAGTCACGAATTTTTATAATTTAGTTTTTTATAATTCGAACAAATTTCACTATTCAACTTTCTCCTAATTTTTTCTAATACAATAACATGAAAATATTCATATAGATGTAAAAAGAAAAAAAAAATAATTTTACCTCTTGGTGGAACGGGAGGTGCAGGCATGTTCGTTATATCGGCTTTGTGATCCTGAGGAACATCGACATTCATATATTCCGGTAGTTTACCGATATCTGGCACATCCATGTCCTCCGAATTATTCATCAAATTTGTTTCCACGTATTCCTCATTGCTTTTACTTTCGACTTCATTCGCAACATGACCTTGATTATTTTTACTTTGGGCTTCATTCATGATATGATCTTGATCACTTTGCCCATTATTGGATGTCTCGACCTTGAACGAGTTTTTTGAAGTTTCGCACACGTGATTTGATTCGAGCGAGTGTCTCTCGATCTGGTGACCTTGGATAGTTTCTTGAAACGAAGTGACGCAAGCGGGTCTCACGTTCACGTAATTTGTAGGAATGCCAGCTGGCGGCACTGGCGCGGAGTTCAACGTAGTAGGGTCTATGTTTGCATAACTGTTGCCAGGATGTCTAGAAGATGCGTCTGATTCTAAGATATCAGTTGTTGCTGGAGATGAATTTTGTATCATATCCAGGTACTTGGGATGATCACAGGGGGAGTTTGGTGTTTTTGGTTCCTTCAGAGAAGTCTCTGTCTTGAAAGCTATTTGTAATTATTGAAAATAATTAGAATTTTTACTCAGATTATTAATTTCAGATATTATTCAAAATTAAAATTATATTTTTGCCTTAATTTTATATCATATAACACAGACTTATATATATCATTGTATCAACATTTAAATTATTTATGATAATTATTATTTCTTAGATTTTAAATTAAAAACAAAATTATAATAAATTTTATTAAAGATTATTCTATAATGAATGTCACTATTTAAATAAACTTACTTAAACTTACACTATTTAAATAAACTAATTTAAATAAATTTTATTAAATTTTAGTAGCTTACAATGGATGGGTAATCCCGAAGGTGGAAAGGCGATGTAATATTCAGTATCCTCAGTCCTTGATGATGTCTGCGATGGTCTCAGATCAAGATCATTTCCAGTCGAGGAACGAGGAGAGGGAGAATATCTAAGCGCCGGTGAATATCTTCCAGTGAATGGTTTTGGAGTTGGTGGTATTTCATACGACATCACACTCGGTTTGTCTTCTCTGACATTTTGTAACTGAAATAATTTTTCATTTATAGAAAAATGTCAATTTTAATTAAAATATTTTTATTTATTTTTTAATTATAATTATTTCAAAATACCAACCCGACGGTCCTCGGTATCAGAATGAGTTCCACTGTCGCCTAAACTAGTTCCGCTACATCCGCTAGCAGTACTCATTCTACCAGAGGAAGAGGAGCCTAAAAAAATAGAAATTAATTATAATTCTTTTCAAGAAAAAAAAATAATATGTTTTTAAGAAACTTTTTAACGTTTTGTCTTTTAATATAAATGATTATCATTATTAAAATACATACTTGAAACGCTACGCAGACTCAAACTACTAACTGGTCTGCGATCGGCCAGTGCGCCATTAACATTCTCTGTTTTGCTGGTTGAAGAAGAATCGTCACTTCCATTCGAAGAATCTTTTGAATCTAAATAAAATTGGAAAGTAAAAATAAAGCGCTTGCAATATTAACGAAGTTACGAATGACAATATCAATTATCCGAACGAACCTTTCTTTCCTTTAGAAAAGAATTTCTTAATTCTATCAAAAGGTGTTGGAGCCTTCATCTCTTCTTTCATTCTTTTCTGTATCCTTTCATACTCTTCTCTCATCGCAGTGAGCTGTCTCTGTTTGTCTTTGAAGCTTTGCTGAACGTCGTTACGATTCCTCCAATTCTCAACCAGTCTCTCCACTTCTGTTATCGTGAACACGTTATTCTTGAAGTCATTTATAATCTCTAATAACTCGTCCTGAGGTCCGGACGGCTCCCTCGATTTCACACTGCTGCAATTGGAAGTCGTTCTTCCATAAGAGCAGGAAGATTGACTGTTCTCCTCTCGAGCAACCATGGGATGAGAATCTGAACGATTCTGCGTAGGCGTCCCTGTTCGGGATGGTTGCTGATTTGGTATATTCGATGTTGGTGTTTTGGAACCTTGAACGATCAAATTTGAACATTTATCTTTTGAACATTTATCTATTTAAAAAATTGAAAAGTTATTGTAATTATGAAATTTAAATATTTATTAAAATTGTACCCTAAATGTTAAGATTTAAATATTCAAATATATTGAGAAATTTGAAGATTAGAAAATTCAAAGAGTTTTCTTATCTTCTAGTTTTTACATGTATCTATATATATATATAAGAGCGATTAATTTTGTACCAGCTGGATGCATTTTCATGTAACCTTGAAGAGAAAGTTCAAGGCCATTCGTAATGGTCGACGTCGATGTCGGTGTTGATGGGTTGACGATGACTGGAGTTGGTGCTGGTACGATCGAGTAATTCGCCTCAATGGGGTTACTAGTGGTTACTGGTAATTGACCTGGCAAGATTATGGACGTTATTGGTCTTGCGGCCGGTGGTACTGAATAAGCTTCGCTCAAAGGTCGTGGACGACAATAATCTTCCTTGTCGTTATTGGTTTCATTTATTGTGTTAGTCGTTGATGGTTCCGTACCTGGAAAATATTCCCAGTTTTATTATCGAACAATTGAGATTAATAATTTAAATCCGTTTCTTTTTCAGATTTTTCAATTTTCATTTAAAAAAAATATATAAAATAAATCTTTTAGTAAAAGAGGGACACTCACTTGCCGCTTGATCCGTCGTGGTCTCGCTGATCACTTTCAAGTAGCTGTACATGTTAGTGAACTCGTTCATTTGCTGCGGCACCGCGCACGAGGATTCAAGGGGAAGCCCGAAACATGCAATTCAAAAACAAAATACCAATTAATTCACCGAAATAAATTTAAAAAAGTATCAAAAAAAAAAAAAGAAAAAATTTATTAAATCAAATCGATTGAAATGCTCATTAGTACATTGCGGATTTTTATAAGGATTTTTGCATATCTTATACAACATGACATGAGTTTACAAAAAATGTTTTAATCGCATGCATTGTATCTCTTTCATCCTGTATTAAAATTTTAATTGTTTCAGATTGAACATGAAAATTGAATATTTAAAATTTTTAGAAATCTTAACTGATCTTAAGTGAATATGATAGATTACAATTAATCGATGAATCGATTTTTTTCATCGATTCCAACGAATTCTAACTAATTACGTTTTTTAATAGAAAATCTGATTGAAGATTAAAGACGAATTATTAAAGAAAAAGAGAAGCTAGATATTGATATCCAAGCAACAGTTGCAATTAGGAATAGAGAAATATCGCGGAAGTACCGGTTTCATTGGACTAACTGTGACGTCGTTTAAAGGCGATGTTTTTGTACCATGTAGCCACGAAGCTGATGCGCAAGTCTCGCGTGTCCCGCCTGCTCCGCAAGATCTGCAGGAGTGAGTTCCGACACGTTCCTCAGGTCGCATGCTATATCACCGCCTGGACACTCCAATAATTGCCAAGCTAATCGTTCCAGACCGAAACGGGCGGCAAAATGTAGCAACGTCGGATTTTCTTCGGGACCTAAATTGATCAAGGATTATTAAATCTCAATTTGAAAAAATTCCAAGACATTTTTCTTTACAAAATTTTAATCTCAAATGAAATATCATATTGATTTGAATATAGTTTTAAACATTTTGAATGTACCCAACATATAAATTGATTAAATCAAATTACAGATATCTGATAAAACTTATTATTTTATATTCTTATATTCTTTATATTATTTTATATTCTTACCAACCAGTCTTTCTATTTCTATCCAGGAAGCGTAAATAAACAATTTGAACAGATAAATTTAAATCCAGACTGTACATATATTTTTCTCAGTTGAGAAGAACAATTCAACCGAACTTAGGGAACTCACTCGAATGGACTTTCTGAGCAGAGACCACTCCACTGGGTGTGGATAGGAGGTTGAAATGCGGTGGAACGTTTCGTTGAAACGCGTGGACCATCCAATTATCCAATTGTTCCCTGTCACCAGGATTGAAGCCGAATGTCTGCGAATAAAGTCGCAAATTACAAAGAATTCGCAGTAAATCGAATTATCGCTTATATAATTATTGTATTATTACCTGGCACATGAATTCTAAGGGATTGTCGTGAGCCCTGAGGATCTGGTCGAGTTCCCTGAGCCTGCTCTCGCACTTCACCTGCCTCACACCCAACGGACAACCGTTCTTCGATATACGAACACCGACCAACATCGACACTTCCAAACATCTGTCAGGAATGGAGAATTGCAAGGCGTAGGGATTCCTTCGTTTCACGTGGGCGATGTCGATCGCTTCGCCGCAACGATCCACGATCACCGACACGTTATCCTCGGGTCGTAAGGGATCATTCAGCAACGCTATTATCCGATTGTGGCCCTGAAAGGATTCTCGATTAATTTTATTTTGCTTACAGTTCCTCCTCTTTTCGAAAACTTAACCTCGAATTTATATATGTATGTATAATATTTCACACGTCAAAGTAATGGGAAAAAATTATAAACGTTGAACTTAACCTACCAACTTCACTTTCTTCGGATGAACCGAAAACGCCGTTTTGTCGCTTCTCAATGCAGGAGGTGGCGTGGTACCAAGAATTCCAATAGCTGCACCCAATAATTCACCAACAAACGTCTCGTCCTGGTCTTTCACGAAGAATTTCCTCCACTGATTATACGAGACCAGAATCGATTTGTGAAGCTCGCTGATGTGGTTATCGTGTACACCTAACATCATCGCGAGCACTTTGTCGGTGATCAATTGTCTGGAGAGGTTTGTCGCGTGTTCCGAACGATTTTGAATCCGTTCCAACAATATTGGACACACGACAACGATCTGCAAACGCGCCGATCGAATCCTCTCCTCGGTGCCGGCTTGTATCGATTCTTCCACTGTCACGTGACGAACTCTACAGTTGAAATAAGAAGAACAAAAGAATGAAAATAAAAATTATAGATATTAATCAAATCTATATGTTCTATGAAAATATAATTCAAGTGAAGATTAACCTAATGCAACTATTAACCCAAATGTCTGAAAACTATCATTGGAAACAATTGTCTCATGAACACTGCTGATGTTTGTGGGTTAACTTTCACTTTGGCTTTCAATTTATAATTTTTGTTTAATATGGATTTTGATTTATCTCGGGATTCATTTTCAACACTCTCATTTCCAGATCTAAATTTTTGAAACCATCGCCGAACGGTCCTTTCATCCTTAGATAGAATCCTTTCCGAAAGCTAACCTAATATTTCAATACAATGCTTCAGCTGCATTGTAGTCAAGCTTGAACTCGTACAGGAATAATATTCTAAATTCGTTCACTTCTCAAAAAACAGTTAAACTAATACAAAAAAGAACTTATTACATATAGGAAATATAAGAGGACAACGTCAAAATATTGCAAGCAAAATATAGGTTAAGTAGAGTTTACAAGTAGCAGTTAATTGTAATTTATTTTAAAATTGGCAACTTCATGTGGTACAACCTAATAATTGTAACTTACTTGAAAGGCGGCCGGCCCTGTTGCCTACTGATCTGCTCGAAACAAGCGGTGAGATAATTGACCCACAGGCTTGAAATTTCGCTGTCTTTGCTCGATACAAAAAGCACGTCATCTTCGGGATGCGAATCGATCTTCGATAGCCCGGTTGCTGAACGAGAACCTGTAATAATTCGTGTTTCAATTCGTATTAAATTTTTACTATAATCGATAAAATGGAGAAAAATAATTATAATATTATAATAACAATTAGCCCAAGATCATGTTGGACGATACTTTTTACCGATTCAATTATATTTTATTATACGTTATTATATACGTAGGTATAAATCAATGACTATTTCGTGGTATTAATTAACTGAAGAGGGTTAATTTCTACGAGCCATTAACGCGGGAAGGCACGCCTTGCTTTAATTTTCTTCCTCCTCGTGCTCAATTTCGCTTAATGCAACTCGAGACACGCGAGCCTAATGAAATAATGTTACGTCTAATGCGTTTGTTCCGCGTTATTCGAGAAAACGACATCACGAAGATGCCTAATTAACGAGTTGTGAAACATGTCGCAAAACACAGAAAAATTGCTGAAAGATTATCGCGATGGAATAATAGTACGAATAATACATTTATTCAATTGTAATATATTGGAATAATTTCAATATACGAATACATGAGTTAAATAATTATTGTATCGAATATAATTGAATAAATATCGAGCGTATATTTTGCAATTTTTTTTAACCTTGAAACCTTGTAGTTGGTGGAACGAACGCTAGGCCACGAAAGTCGTTATCTAGACGTCTGAATACAGCAAAAGTAGCTCGTGAGTTTATCGAGCGTACAATGGTATAAATAATGGGGTCGTTCGTTTTCCATAACCGCGATCGTTTCTCGTACAACGAGGCTTTTGTGCCGGCCGATATCGATATCTGGCAGAAACGGAACGACTGGAAACAAACCGAGAAGAATCCGTGATTTCCTTAAGTATACAAAAAATAACCGGAAACGCCCACATTTTTCTTCTTTTCGTCTACTTCTTTTTAAAAATCCCTTCGTATAACTTCGATTCTATCTGTTATCGGTTGTCGTTCAAGGAAATTTACTGAAAGATGGTAAAGTTTAGAGGACGAGATAGGGAAGAACGTTTGCACGAATTTGAACTTAGATATTACTATCCTGACTTTCGTTTCTTTTTTATCTTTCGTCGAAACGATTTATTTTCGGATTACCTTTATTTTTGCATGTTCATTTTTATTTTTTTTTTAACCTATCTATCTCGTACATGTATTACGTATTACGTTATATGTATTACACGACAATTAATATGGATTCATATATAGTGGATCAGAGAGTCGAGACGATGATAGAGTTTACGGTGGAGAATGGAAAGGTGGGGTGGAAAGGATCTGAAAATAACCGGGCACGGGGTAAACTTTCGTTTTCTCCCCCGTTCCTTCGCGCATGCGTACAGTTTCTCCGTGAAAACGGCGGACAAATAAACGCGTTGTTAAGAATAGAAGAACACCATAGCTGCGTGGGCAAAGGGGTACGTTTCCGCGTTCGTAACACGTGGTTTCTATCCCAAACGTTCGACGTAACGAGCGTCAATCAAGATCGTCGTTAATTAATACTCGTCCAATATTTTCAATATTAAAAATTATTCGGAAAAATTAACGTCTCGTTATTCGTTCTGATAAAGTAATTCAATGATCTCGCGTATAACAAGAATAGCTCGTCTCTATATTTGATGTGTTTAAGAGATGCGTTTAAAGAGTCAGATCGAGCGTGCAACGAACTTGTAACGTATTATTTGTTTATTTTTTCTTTTATTATAAAATAAATCAAATGGTAATGTTATATTTTCTGAACTATCCGTCCGTTATACGTGCTTCCTGTTCACGTGAGAGGAGTGGGCTTTCTCGGGCGTTAGCTTTAACGGCCGACGAATAACGGCCCACGATTTTAATCGTTCGCGACTATTAATTCGGTGGAAGGCCGGATATGCCGAAAACGGAAGCCACGCGCGTCACGTAGCAAACGCAACTGCCAATATGGCCGTCTTGGAGATCTAAGCACGGGAAGCAAGATCTTTTTTTCACTCGACTCCTTTTTTTATTAATTTAATTTTACAACTATTCGAAAAAATTGCTCTCTTTATATTTCGAAGATCTATTTTTCCCCACCCTCTTTAAATTCACGAAACAACGTATATATCTCGATCAATCAAAAATATCCAAAATACTCGCAGGAGAGAGAGAGAGAGAGAGAAATTAATCTGAAAAAATGAATGAACTTCTTATCTCTCTCGGGGCCGCGAAAAGAAGGAAAGAGTGGGAAAGGAGGGGCAGATTAAGAGCAAAATAGACAGACTCACGGGTGACGTTGGACAAATCCAAGAAGGTCGGCCGATTTCGTCGCCGTGACCGGGGCGTTTCGCACGTGTTCGCCATATTTTTCTGCGGTCCAAACTTCTCTATGCCATTTCTTTCCTCCCGCATACCCCGTAAAATTTTCGTTTCGTCCTTATTTATTCGCCGTTTCTTATTTTATCTACCGCCCATTACATTTTCTTTCTCTCGAATAATCAAACGACGAACAAAGGGAGAGAGGACGAGTGAAAAGAAAGGAAAAGATCTCCGTCTCCTACGGCACACTGAAGAGGATGAGACGAGACACCTCCGATTTATCGTCGACGACTGACCATCGGCCGTTCGGATTCGAAACCGATGGAATGACCATCGTCGAATTCGAACCGTTCCTCTCTTCCTCTCCCCCCCCCCC